CTGTACATTATTTATTATTCATCTATTTCAAATGCACGAAAGATTAATAATGATATTAAAGCTGTTACAACTGCTACGACCTTCGAGAGGGAAAAATACCCATGCTTTTCATCCACACTCCTTCAATTAAACTGACCCAGCTTGGCTCTCAGTCAACTGCTCTCGCTAGTGTAGTTAGACAGTAGTAGATTATTGAATATATTGTCTTTGAAAAAGATTTCCCCGTCCGTCCGTCCATAAACTACTGTACTCTTCGTCGATCATTATGGTAGTTTCAGAATATTTCATCAGTGCGGTAAAGAAGTCGTTTAACAGTTACATGAACCATACAAATATTACTTTCCGAATCCTGTATTTTTTACACTTCTTAATAGTAAATTCTATTTGATCAAGGAAGGGTTCAATTACAAGGCACATAGGCTTAATGCCTTTATCGCCACATCATCAAAAAGAGGGCTCAGCAAAGAGGTAAAATTTAGTGTCGAACTGTTAAAATAACAAAAGCTAAACTGCCTTCCACAGTGAAAAAAGGTAAAAACACTGATGGACTGAATTAGTTTAGTAATTTTGACATCGAATAAAGGGCCAGAATCAATTTTGAAGGGTTACATCGTGAATTTTGAAAAGATTCAATATTGCCTTGATCAATGATCTTGTGGTGTTAACAAAGCGAGAAAGGAACCACTCACGAAAGGTCATTCACGTCGCAAATGATTCGGTTCTGGGAAGGGAAGGGAGCAGGGAACTCGTTAGGTTTAAAGAGGCAGGACCAGAATTGCCTCTGAGGAGAAACATGAGATAAATAAATTAATAGCTTTAAGTGTTATGATATAATAGTAGTAAATTAAAGAGATTGAATTTAAAATAAAATATCTGGACACAACAACCCTTTTAGCAGGGAACAAAGAGTTGCTTACTCTTAAATTACAACCGCTTACGGTTGAAAGAAATAATAATTGCCCGACTAGGAGACAAAGCGTGACTCTGAGGGAAGATGAAAAAAAGCGAATTCACTCAGGCGGCGTGGGGGGGGGCAGGTTAGTGAACGAGTTGATTGATAACTTCCAGGCATCCGTCTCCATAGCAGCGCCTCTTAGGAAATGGTAATGCATTATATGGGCTTTCTATAGGAGCTCTGGGCCTTTTTTCCAAGATGACGCAACTCCTAGATGCAGAGTCGTAGCTAGGGTTTTCAGCGCCCAGGGGCAACTGAAGATTTCGCGTCCCTACTGCTTGCCAAGAATGGAAAATTTAATTCTAAAATGTCGTAACATCAATTTGGCGCCCTATGAATTCTGCGCCCGGGGACAGATATCCCCCCTTGCTCCCCTCTAGCTACGCCCCTGCCTGGATGATAAGTAGGCAATGAATGGACTTGGTGGTCGTGTGGCTTAATGCATGATATAATTAAAGAAAATAAAGAGAGACAATTCCTATACAAAAAGAATATATTAAATACTAAATTACAATTTAAATTACATTTGCAGAGATCAACACAGAGCTCGAAACACAATTCGTGCTAGCGTCGTAGGAACACTTGTCCGACGAGAAGTCTGAGTCAGTAAAGATGTCGCTTTGCTGCTCCGATTAAGAATGGATTTTACACGTGGCGCCATCTCATGAATAGAAGTTGAAGTATCGTCGAACCCACATGGAGAATGGTGTTACCGATTGAGTAATTGTTTTGAAAAAGTTGCTGTATAAAGCGATTTAAGAGAAGAATTTGGCTGCATTATGAATGTTCTCGTTCGCAACAAACCAAGTAGCTTTGTAGATTTGCCAAAGCATAATATTTTGGATATGCTTCCTGTTAGTAATTGCTGCTGCGCCCCACACGAGACTTGCATAAGTCAGAATAGGCCTTATCATTAATTTATAAACTAAGATTTTGTTTTTCGTGGACAGGTCGCTTTTTCTACCGAAAAAAAGGCAGTAATTGGGATTTGACAACCTTCGCATTGGAAAATGTTTTTTGAATGTGAGGTTGCCAAGTTAATTTTGAATCAAGTATCACTCCTAGATACTTATAAGCAAAGAATCTCTAATTCTTTGCTTATAAGTAGGAACCCAGGGAATTGGTTCTTCGGGAAGGAGTCTATTTGTACATAATTTGCTACACTCTAATAGTAATAATCAAATATAATCAAATTTCTATAAAAAGTAACACCACTAGCTCGGCGAAATGAACTAATAAAATGAAGCGAACATCACATTTGGCCCTAAACTTTTCGTATTGCGGGCAGAAAGACATCATAAATGTAAAACAAGAGTTTATCTGTCAAAGGCGGTTAATATGTATTTTTCTTTTTGATTTGCGAAACTTATTTCTTGTACCATTGCGTATTATTTTCTGTTGACTCCAAAAATGTCTTCCTCAGTTACTTCTTTAAATTCTAAACCTGAGGTAAGTCATAAATGTGTAAATTTTAGTTTTCTGTTAAATAATAATAAGTATGGAACAGAAAACTTACCATACTGTTGTGAACACATAATGTGCATTTGCTGCCATTCATTCGTAGCTGTAGAATATAAAATGTGATCTAAATTTCGACATTTTTCGAGCAGTTTTAAATCGTTGGTTTTTCTTATTATCCGAACATTAAAGGACAGTATAAATTTTAAATAGCATTCTTCAAGTTGCAATAATGATTTTATTAAAATTTCATGATGTACACAGGAGAAAACTACTATCTAAGCACCGACAACAGCAGTTATTTTGGAACTTCATTACTTTTAATAATCTTTAATCTAACTGATAGGAATATTTGGTACTGTTCTGTTATCAGAACCGGATTCAGAAATGTATGAACCTGTGTTTGTATGTATGTATGTGTATATGTATACACACATACATTCGTACTTACATATGTACATGAATACATACATTTCTGAACCCCGTCCTGATAACAAAACAGTGCCGAATACTTAAATACAGTATGGCGAGAACAAAATTATCAAGCTATTAAAACATTGCTTAATAATTAAACAACATTTTTAATGTGGCGTAATCTATTCATTTATATAGTTATATAAATTATTTTTAAATGCAATACATTTACATTTTTTGCATTACCACAGGAACATTATTATCAAGGTTTCTGAATTGCTCACATGGGACCCATTTATGTCTTTATTTTCTATGGACTTCATAATTTAAGAACAAGAATCTTGGATCATATGTGTTTGTAGGGAAGGGGGTAATACATATAATCCTGCTGGAATCGAGCAAAAAATATGTTTCGTACAAATGGCATAAAACATGTATTTTTTATTGATGCAACTCCGTATTCTGTAATCTACTTACAAACCCACAATTTAAAAAATAAATAAAAATTGATATAATTATCTCCGGATCTGTCCCCAAAATTTTCTGCATGGAAAATTTATTTCGATGTTTATAAAGGCTATTTTAAGTATATTGTGCAGGCCTGTGTAATAGATAAAAGCTGGTATGATGGAATAAAAGGAAATCATACAGCACTGACATTAAAATATTCAAGACACTAAAAAATTAAACTAGATCATTTTACAGCATTTCTATTCTGAATATGATGTGGATTTACCCCAGAAACTCATTGTTGGATTTTATATATTAAAAATCGCTATGTGAATATTTGGAATTCACTTGCAAGTTTAAGTACTTTTTTAGTGTTGACCAAGAGTGTTTTAATGTTGAGCAAATTTCAGTGTATCCTGAATTTTCATAAAGAGCAAGCTACTGAAAACAGAATTTAAAAAAGTTATGCTTATGAATGGAAGTTAGAACTAAGTATGGTACAGAAAATTTACCACTGTTGTGAATACATAATGTGAACTGTATGTATTTGAAAGTTGGCTATAGATTTTGCATATCAGTGTTTTGTTAAATATTGCATAGCATATAAAATAATGAAATGCACGCAATGAAAATTTTAAATTTACCAGATTTATAGTCTGAAATATTGAAACTAACAGTTTTTCATATAAAGCATTGTATCTTAGAGTCATTATTCAGTTTTGCTTGATTGATTCATATTGTGCGATAATTCCAAGTATAAAAAATAAATAAATTATATTAATCAGTTTTGAATTCATCTTAGTGCCAGGTAAAAGTTGAACACTGGGTTCAGTTAATATTTGCAAAATCGGAGACTCCTTAAAAAAAAAAAAAAAAAAAAAAAAAAAAAAATCATCACAAATACTGCTAGTATTTAAATTTATGTTCTAGTTTATTATCATTCTCAAGAAAAGAAGAACATTCATTTCAAATAATTAATAGAGCTAATGTTAAATACAGTGAAAATCGTTTAACATGAAACTGAAGTGACTGAAATATTTTTGTGTGTTAAAGGATATTGCAAAACAAATAAATAAAAACATATATTCAACAAAATTAAGTTTATTAGAGTACATTTTATTTTACATAGATATGTATATATGCATGTATTTAATAAAAATTAATGAAACAAAAACATCCACAAGAACTTAATTTAATACAAAACTTTCAGGTTTTTGGAAAATAATGACATTTTTTTTTTTTCATTGTCTTTTTTAGCATCAAATTGTTCAATGTCATCCATTTTGTTATTCATTTCACAATTACACTGTGTATCTAAATAACTGCACATACTTTTCACGATGTTCCTCATTTCGGATGACGTGTGAACAGGAGCTGCATTATTTATTTCATTTCCGTTGTTGGAATCTGCATCAATGATATTTTTTTAGCCTTGAACAAACTCCAAACATAATTTGTCTGCCATAATTGGGGCTGTACACATATTATCATCATCTACTGCAACAAATTCTTTCGATGATACATTAGGACAGTCCAATAATACAGAAACTTTCTCAAACACTTCATTAAGTGTCGGCTCAGTTTCAATATCCTTCTTCTCTATTTCGTTTGGCAAGAACCAGACTCCCTGATTTTTAGACACACTGCAATGTACACATCATTGAATTCCAAAGCCAACTGATGAGAGATGAGATGTTTTTGTATGGTATTTGTGTGGGTGAAAGTAGATTAGATAAACAACATTGGCTATTCTGAGGGTATTTCAAAGCCAAGTTAACCTCCATTCTACAAAATATGTGAAACCACCTCTCTTTCATTTCACACTCCTCTTAAATCTTGCCTATGTGGCTGGTGTTTTCCGTATTTTGTTCATTCCCAGAAGGGAAATCTTTTCGTGTTAAACAATTTTCGTTTCGAGTTTAACCTTTTGAAGACGGGATGGCCATTATAATGGCCATAGACTCCTCCCTTTGAAAAGTCGGGGTTGTCCACTTTAGTGGCCATGTCTTTTTCCCCCATTTTTCAGGCTGAAAAGTGGGGTGAAATGTCAAATTTGACGTCCCTGGGGTTTTAACCATTATCTCTTCAAAGTTCTTCCTTTTGTGATTGGATGAACCCCTCTGAGAATCCATTAACTACACACAAGAATCTTTGTTGCAATAGGAGGTTATTTCTTAAAGGGGGGAAAGCATTCGGTTCAATATTCCCCGTCCTTTGGTAGCTTTTACTGCTACCAAAGCCCCGGCCTCAAAAGGTTAAAGAAAAAGCATGAAAATATGTAGTAGTTTGTCGGGACCGTTGTGTTATTTCAAGTTAACCGATATTTCATCTTAAGAGTTTTCACATTAAACTTATTCCACTGTATACAGTCAAAAGTCTTTAATCCGGACGTCCATAATCCGGAATGATCTATAATCCGGACCTCAAAGCTACAAACTTTCTGTGCATGCGTCAACACATAATGCTCATAATACCTTTACGCATGCGCCTAATACGTTTATGCATGTGCATTTAATGTATAACGGGCGGTATAAGCTAAGCTAAAATTATCTAATTATCTATTTCAGTTAATGTTGCAGATTGTGTTGTTCCTTAATCTTCTAATTGGATCTGGCTTATTATTTTTTGCAGACTGTTAGAGCAATTTTATAAAAGTAAGCTTGAACTTTCGATTATGTCAAAAAGAATTTTTTCGATTTCTGGAGCTACCAAAGGATCTACAAAGCGAAAGATGTTTCGATTTCAAACAAAAAGTGGAATTGCTGCAAAAAAATGGATAAAGGCATATCCTTTGATTCTCTAATCATTCCAAAATATGTTTATCAATTTCTCGCTGCTCTGCGGGGGAGGGGGGACGACATGGCGCGCAATGAACTGAAAGTTGATCTGTCAGCACTATTCTTACCTTCAGGGCAGATGTTTTCATTTTATTTGGCTTATTAATTCCTTACTAAATGTAGTATTTCATCTCGATGTACTCTGATACGATTTAAATCAAATTCCTCGTCATTATAAATATCACGAATACACATCAAATAGTTTTCTGGTTGCAATTTTCTAATTTCGACTATGTGTAATGTATGCTTTACGCATGCGCGCGTTGAAAGAAATGTTTAATAAAGTAAACAAATTACTATTAAGCTTTTTTTTTTTTTTGTAAATTTTTATACCCTTTAGATCATAATTGCTCTTTATTTCATAAATTACGGTTTCATATTTTTAATTTTATAATTTCTGCATGGCATCTTACAAGATTTAAACTGATGATCTATAATCCGGAAAAACCGATAATCAGGAATTGCCGAAGTCCCAACGAGTCCGGGTTAAAGACTTTTGACTGTATTTAATAAAATTGCAGATAAGCTGAAATTAGAAAAATAAAATTTTTTTGCATTAAAAAAGTTTGCAAATTTCTTCTTACTATTAGAATCAAGTTTTTGCTTACTTTCTTGGATGTATTACAGTTCCACAATATAGGTAATTGATTCACATTTTTCAATACACATTCTGTTTGGGGAAAAATATGCTTTGTGTGTTGGCTTTTTGTAACTTATGCTCTTTGATTGAACTAAGCTAACAATTCTGTATTTTCTTTGTATAGTATTTATATGACTTTTTAATTGCAATATATAAAATCATTCTAAGCAGTAGGAAATATCCATATGAAATTGTGCATGCATTTTTTTTACTTTTATTTTAATCTATCAGTTTTATGTAATTTTACTATTTGTGTAATCAGCAGACTGATTAAGGCAGCTCTTGTTTTGTGCACGATCTGTTCTTTATCGCTTATATGCGAAAAGCCCTACATGTGTTTGAAAACTATTACTAGGACTGAATTTCTAAATTTAGAAGTGCAGGAACTATATAGAATGCTGCCAAAAACAAGAAAATAATTTATTAAATAAAATAATAGATAAAGCAATAAAATTAATAATTAAATAATCTATAAGGATAAAATATTTACTATTAAGTAAATAACAAACCAAAATATAAAAATTAAATGAAAAGAAGTAAGTAAATAACAAATTAACATAAAGTCAAAAACATTTAGTGAAATAATTAAGGAAAGGAAGGATAAGTTAGTTCATAATAGCAAGACATGATATTGAAGATAAAAGGAAGGT